CCCAGTGCCCAAGGCTGATATTACCAATAAGAAGATTGAGGCCGGGGTCCTCACAGTCTACCCGGAGTGACCGAACAGAACATGCTGAGAACCGGTCCCTACGTTCCTCTTTTGGAAAAAATCTCGGCTACGCGTCTAGCTTTCCGCCGCCACTCCCCAGCCTTGCCAAAGCCTGCCCTCATGGCCAAAGGGTTGGCTCTCCGGGTGGAATATTTCTGCCAGCACCTCCAATGACTCTACCAAACTCGGTCCTGCCCTCGAGAACAGCTTGACTGCATCCACGACTGCAACCACTTTCTCCTTGCCTTTCTGCAACGATGCAAGTACACCGTTTTCAAATGCTTCAGCAGCTTGAAGTTCCCTTTCTGCCTGCTGGATGTTGAGACCGCAGATGGCAACTAGGATAACATCCGTCTCCACTTTGGCCAATTGCTGCGGAGAGAGCTGTTGAGCCTTGCCCCCAGCTTTGCACGCCACGTCCACACCACCAGCCAATGCGATGAGTTCAGGTGTCCACGCACCAGCAGCAAACAGTGGGTCCATCCACTGTAAACACAACGCCCTCTTCTTTCGTCGTCCCATCATCGCCGTTTGCACTGTCATTATTCTATTCCTCAGCCGGGCGAGAACTGTCTTCCCCTCCTCTGTGAATCCGATGGCGTCGGCCACAGAGCCAACGGCTTGCCATACCTCTTCCAGAGTCTGTGGTTCGGCATGGATGATCCTCACATGTCTGCCCATCCACTCTGCCAGGCACCTCTCAACATCGTCCACAGTCAATGCACCACCGACTGTCTGCACCTCAGTCAGAACCACATCAGGTTGGAGCGCCTGCAAGCGAAGAGGATCTACTCGGAAGGGGCATAATGCCCATTCTACCACAACCCGTGGCTGCCACGTAAGCCCAAAAGAGGCCTCCCATAACCCTGCCGCAGACGAGGATGCAACATCGTGGACTTCACTCCTGCTCAAGCCCTCGCTAAGTCCATACTTGGCTTCTGTGCAAACAGCAACTGCTTCAACGCCTTCAGCATCACACTCGTGGCTCCTTCCGACGAGGGCACTGCTTGCGCCGATGCAGTGCACGATATCTGTCATGGAAGGCAAGAGCGACACAACACGAGGGGGTGTCGGCTTCAAATTTCCGCCATGGCCAGCGTTCGAGTCAGCTCTCCGCTCACCTGATGCGCGCTCTCTTGCGGAATCCATCTGGCCACCTGGCAGCACGGAGCGGCTGCCGCGTGGAGTGGAGGTGCACACCGGCGGGCCGACCGGCGACGCGGAGACTGGCGGCATGCACACGGGGACAGCGCGAGGGCCAACCGGCGCAACCGGGCGCAGACACCCCCGGACGGCCCTTCTTTTTTTTTTTTCGTAGTTCGACCGCGCGGGTGATTTAGGGCTTTGCTCCACCACACAACACCCCACATGCATTTTTCGACGATTTGGACCAGGTGCGTTTGGACGAGCAAAACAGCTTGACATGTATCGGGTCTGATAGGCGTCGAAATGCATGTGGAGTGTTGTGCAGTGGAGCGAGGGCACATTTGTCGCCTGGGAGCGAGGCCTGAAATGAAGTTGATAATAGCGCGCGCTCGCTAACGTTCAAGATTAATAAAAAAAAATAAAAAAATAAAAAAAACTTCAAGTTCGTTTTCCCCTCTTTCTGTATGGATCGCCACACGGCAAACATGAACATGGGCATGACGACGACAAATGAAGTTCGGTCCAAAATAATAATTGAAAAAAAAAAGGGATAATTCGCAAAATACCCTCATAAGTTGAGATATACGCCAAAATGCCCCTGAAAGATGTGGGTAGAGCGGAATGCCCTTTTAGGCCGAAATCTTTGTGTTGTGGCCCTGTCAGGCGGGTGTGCAACTTTGCAATCTGGACCTTCCGGTTTGGGGCCTTGGCCTTTTGCAATAGTGCCTAGGAGAAGTTGGCAAGTACTGGGGCATTTTGCAACGTTGGACGATACCCAGTAGGGGTATATTACAAAGAGTTGGGGCCAACCGACGCCAGGGGTATTTCACAAGAAAAAAAGTTTTGGAGGGGCATTCCGCTCTACCCACGACTTTGGCATATATCTCAACTTATGGGGGTATTTTGCAAATTATCCCCCCAAAAAAAGAGAGTTTGGCACTAGGGACACGCACCTCTAAATGCATGAGAAACGGCGGCCCATTTGTGGGAGGCTGCAAGGACCCATGAAAATCCACGTGCTACCCCTGAGCTGATGAAATGCAGACCAGGTGCTGAGTTCGAACTCTACTCGAACCCCAAGACCCTGACCCTGAAGAGGACCGATGAGAATTCCGGTGTGACGCTCAACCTCACACCCTGTGCTGTCTTTCGTTCGGAGTGTTGAAGTTGCGGAAGAGGCCCCGAAAGAGCAGCAAAATGGGGTGTGCCAAGGATTTTTGGGAAATTGAGTGTAGGGACACAAAAAGAACTGCAATCCCCCGTGTTGGTCCGACGTAGTAACAAAAGGGGCGGGCCTTCACCGCTCGGGTTTGGCGGGAGAAGAAGGTGCGCGCGGGACTTACGGCGAAGGGAAATTCAATCCAAAAAGTATCGTTGAACTTCCCATCGGTGTGACGAACCACCTTCTGTAACGCGCGATTTTCTGCGCGGTTGCAACGAGGGGTCCTAAGCTGGGAAGATTGGGCCACTTCCGGGAAATCGGGATCGATGGAAAATTGCATTAGTACCCTTCCTTCTTCGTCGCTTCTTCGGGACCGGGTGTGTCCGGGGACGGCCGGTTAAGAGATTGGTCGGATGGATGTTTGGTGCGCCACCACGCGCGCGATTAATAAATGTGACGTCGCTTCTTTCGTTTCGGGTTCGATCTTTTGGGCGCGAACATCGCGCGGGAAATTGCTTCGTTCT